ATTCCCTGTTCAGTCAATGGTGAGAGGCAGGATTTTACCATATGCTGTGAAGCATCCTGTGGAGGAGCTTATCCCTCTCCACGCATAAACTACAAACCATGTTTCGTAACTCATGGCTTCTAACCTAACTCTGTATGGTTTTTATGTTGGACTGTACAAACACACATTTCAATTTTCCTGAAACTGAAAATATTAGTCTATATACTGATATTAGATTTATGAATACAAAGATAATATTCAAAATGAACAAGAAACTCTGGAAAAACATAAACTAGTGGTTTTTCACCAAAGCATGAAAAGCATTTTGAGGGATTTACTAAACACTGCTGCTGAATATAATCTTCTGTGGCTTATAATGTGGAGTAAAGATCAAGTAAATCACTGTCTTGCCTGACAAGGAAAACATCTATTTTAGAATGCTTCAAAAATTTGGTTGGTGTGTCATTATGATGACATATTAATTTTCCCTTAGGCCTTCATACTAAAATGTAATTTTACAGACAGTATCATAAATTTTAAGGACTGTGTATGAGACAGTGACATTTCCTTGAATGTTTTTAATAATATAATAATACCAAAGCAATACATGAGAGAAAAAAAAAAAGAAAAAAGAAAAAAAAAAAGAGGAAAAAATATATAAGCAGTACAGAGCAGAGGTATTTACTCTGTATATGGTTTTAACAATAGAAGATCTAACTGTTTGTGAAACATTTACAGTATCTGCCACTCCTAGAAATTTCAGTAATTCCAACTACTTTGAATTCACTCAAAAACAAACCTTGAATGGAGTGATGAGGTCATGTATATTCATTATTAATATTTTTAAAGTAATAAGAGATTATGGATCTTTCCTGTTTTCAAGGCACAGTTTGAAATATCTTAAGCAGCAGGATCACCAGGGTCACTTCCCACTGGCCAGAATAGAGACATTCAAAATTGCATGCCATTTTTAACATATTGGTGATGACACAAAAATCTTCTTTAGCTTATGGATAGCAAATAAAAAGGAGAACCTAAATCTTCAGATTGTGTAATTCAAAGTGCCTGAAGGCTTTTAGCATCTTGACTGGCAACATTTAACATGGAATAACTGTATTTATTGCTATACTAATGTTTGCTCTTAAAATGACATAAAAAAGAAAACAATGAAGATGACAGATGAAGACACTTGTAGAAAATCTCTAACCAGGGTCTGGAGAAAAAAAAACAACAACCTCTGAACTTGTATATGGGCTAGTTACTAAAAATAAAGGATCAGCTTTGAAAAATACTAGAAAGGAAAAGATTCTGGCCTTATTTGGGACAATTTTTTTGCTTGCATGAAACAATGTTCTTTGTTTGCAAAATCAAGTCTTATAGTAAAAGCATTTCAAATCAAACTGAAAGTGAATAGAAGAGGGTTAGGGGGCCTTTTCTTCAAATACAATGACACCTCCTACATTTGACTACAAAGGTGTCCTTATTATATTTTTAACATATATTTGAGGATACATTTAAATACAAATAACATATATGCAACACTTAAGCATGATCTACAGTTTTAGCAGAGATCAACACTACTGCTTTAAGAGGCGTTTCTATTCTGCTATGCCATAAGGACAAGTTCTTTCCAAGAAATCTCTTACATAATAAATGACTATTAGTCTCACAGCATTATTGTGTGGCAGCGAGCAGGGAGCAACCTCACAGTTTGCATGCCCCTGCTCTATAGCACCCATCTACTATGGAATTAAATGCACCTTCCACGCATTTAGGGACAGAATCCCTGGAACCTTGTGTGTCACACAGCTATATACAGACAAGACAGTATATAAAGATATGAATCAAGGGTGCTAGACAGTATCTCCCATTTTCTTTTCAGCCTGTACTGTTTTGCAGCAGAAAATACTGGCTGTGAGAAAAAAATTGCCATCTTTAATAATTCTCAAATTAACAGTAAATCTATTCTCTTGAAAGAATACAAACTAAGTATAACTAACATTCAACATGTTAATAAAGGGCAGAAATCCTTATGGTTCTAGTATTCTCACAAGAGCTGTGGACTTTTTGGTAACCTTTGCCACAGAAGATTCTGAGAGTGACTGTTCTTCAGGCCATCTGTATGAGGAATGCTTAACACACAGAAGAAAAACAAAAGCACCAATCAAGAAGCTTGCAATTGTGAAGAAAAACAGGGTTCATTAAGCACTGATTTTTCTCTTCTGTCCAACAGGAATTACTACAATCGTTCTTTTGATGTAGTTTCAGCAGAAAAGAATGAGTCAGGGTAGATTCACAGATCCATGGCAACGCTTGAATGCACATCCCAGGCAATCACACTTCTTTGATAGAAAGTGACTAGAAAGATGTTTGTGCATAAAAACAACATGGATTTCCTTTCTTTTTTTTTTTTTTTTTTTTTTTTTTTTTTTCCAAAAATTACGCTGAATAAGATAAATAACTACTAGAGATGCAGGCACATTTCATGACCTTTCTGTGGCAAATGCACATATGTACCATACACAGACCTGGCTTGAGAAGAAAGAGAAAACAGAGTTTTTACTGTACGGGTGGTCAAACCCTGGAAAGGGTTTCCCAAAGAGGCTGTGGCTTCCCCATCTGTAGAGACATTCAAGACCTGACAGGATTGGTAACCTGCTCTAGCTCCAGGTTCTGTTCAGATTCTGCTCCACTGGGATTGGACTAGGTGATCTCAAGAGGTCAATTCCAACCTCAACCATTCATGTATACAGCTAGTCTGCACAAAAACCGGCATGGGAGAATGAAGGAAAAATTGTATTTAATTTCAGAATTTTTAAGCAGCCTTGTAATAAAGAAAAAATGACTGCTTCTCCTCATCTACTTCAAAATCTAAATTTCAAATTACTATGAGACTATGTCTGTGTATTATTTAATCCTTCATTTTCCTGACTAGGTGTCCAGAGCTTTTTGCTAAGCACTGCTGTGGACTTTTTCAACAAGAATTGAAATTCCAGGTTCTGTTCTATAAAGAAATGTTAAGAGATCTTGACAATTTTCATCAGACATGTTTTTCAGTGTTCTTTGATGAATTTTTGCCCTAAGAAGACTGTCAGTTCTGTTATCTTTAATTAAACATCACAAGGGTCTCATTTTGCTATATTCTCTGAACAGCTATGGCCTCTTTCAACACAAAGGGCTTTTAAGTTCTTATATTGTACTGCAGCTTTTGAGCTAAAATACATCTGTAAGAAAGTACATATATGAAGGTTCATGTAGGTCTTTAAAAATCTCAAGAGAGAAGCATTTATCAATTTTTTTAAAGCCTGTTTTACTCAATGATGACTTTTGGTTTCTTGCTTCTGTCCCCATCTCTCGCCCAGAACTGCCTAGGTGAGCAGTATCTTTAAAAATTCCCTTTAAACAAAATCATAATAATGAAACCATCACCATTTAAAAAAATAAATAATTTGAAATAAAAAGAAACAGGGACATAACATATACTGATCCAGATGCCCACATATTCACTACTTGGAAGCAGAGATTCAAATAAAGGACTTGAAATGAGTTAGCTCATTACACAGTATCAAAGAATACAAGACTGTGAAGCTAAATTCTATTAACAGTGTGAAATGTAATGTTTTTCACATGAGCACTGGAAGAGATAATTCAGTCTGAAGTTGCCTAATTTTTAACAGCTACATCACTATCTAAGTTCAGATATCTTATATTGGCTGGCTTCATCTTGGTCACCAAAAGGAATACTCTTATATGAATCTCATGGGATTTCAAGACTAGAGTGATTATACCATTTTTAGACCATGTTAAGAAGAATAAAAATACAAGTCCACCAACTTTCATTCTCCTTCACATTTTGTTATGGACGGTTTGAAGAAACATAACACTTCAGTGTAAACTTGACATAGGAGACGTGGTCATAGAGAACACTCAGACAAAGCAATTATGAGCATGTATGTGTTTAAATCTAAAAAACTCTGCATTCAGTACTACTGGCACTTTCTCTCCTGCAAATAAATGGAATTCTGTATAAACAATAACAAATATGATACTACTACACTTACATATTAAAGACTTAATTTGCTTCTTCCACATTTTCTATAGAAATTTGCATTCATTCAAGTAAAATATCACTATCTCCATTGAAACACAGGAGGGTTTTTTAAAACAAATTATACATTTTTTTGCCAATAAGCAAACACCTTCTGCCACTGAACTGGTACTACTAGGTACAGATTGTAAAAGAGCAGCTGCAACACTCAAGTTCTCTGTAGTGACAGCCTAGAGACTCACTGAGTTTTGGAATTTCTGCCTATATTAAAGAGTTGGGTATTCCCTACTTGCAGTACATCTTAGTGTATTTTTGCATACAAAGTCTGTTAGAACTGGTGTTTTTCTACAGAAACAGAATAAAAGAATATTGTACAAAGAAAACAGAAGAGACTTCAGATTTTGTTTTAAGAATTGGTTTTGTTCCTTTTTTTTCTCCTTGTGGGTAGGTCTAACTCAGGTTTCCATTTTACAGTAATGTTCTCCTTTCTCTCTGCCAGTTTTAAACTCTTGTAGTAATAAACAACATTCTGGCACAGCTTTATTTTCAGTCAAGTGCCCCTAGGGAACAGAGTAATTTTACACGAAATGTGTATCCCATCCTGCTGCTTTATGTAATCCACTCAGATCAAATGGGGATGAGGGATACTTACTTCACACAAATTAAAATGAGACATTTTGGCCAAATTTGAACTTCAATGTATGTATTTGAAAGTGCTACCCATAATCCTACTTGAGTGTCCCAAGTCTGGTTAATACCACTGCTCCAGTTTCTGCCTCCAAATCCATTTTCCTTAGAACAGAATCTTCAGCACTTTGCAGATATCCACATTGATATCAGTTTATAAATGCTGTTTTATGCTTTTACACAAGTATGAAGTCATAATTGGGATTGCCTGTTATATATTGGAGAAAGTGAGAAACTCAAACTGCTTCAAAAAAAATTAACAAAACAAATATTACAACAATTTTACCTGCAACAATTGGAGATTTTCTGTCATCCAGAAGCTGAATAGCTGTACTGGCTGTCACTACATTGCTTTTGTTTGCTGTTTCTGCAGAGAAAAAAATAAATTTAAATGACATATTGCAGAACGAGGAAGTTGACCTTTTTTTCTCATTTTGAAATTACAGTCCATGTAGATTTAGTGCTCAGAAAATAAGACATCCAACATCATTTTCTGTGGATGCACAGAACATACAGGTACTGCCATTTCAAAATTCCCCAGCATTCCAACAACAAGCTTAAAACACTGAAACAAGTAACCAATTTTTGCCTTCTCTGCTAAAAGTGGCAACAAAGGTGAGAACTGGCAGGGCTTCTCATTAATGTGAACACTTTCTCTGTTGGACTTGTCTTGCTTACAATACTAGGTATAAGCTCAATCTGTGCAAATATTAAATGAAAACTGTACACCCTACCTTGGGTTTCACTTAGAGCCCTATAAAAGATGCACCTGGTCAAAGGACCAGTAAATTAGCTGCAAATTTCAATGCAGATTTTAGATTAACATTTGAGATTAGTGACAGAGTTGGCTCAGTACTGACATACTTCAAATCCTTTCAGCATCATAATACGTGGCTCAGCATTTAGAAAATGACAAAATTACAGACCTGTACTAAATGGGATTGAATAGACAAAACTCCCAGGTATTTGCTCAGCAGCTCTTCTGTACCAGAGTGGAAAATGGTCAGCATTAAAAATGTTTTCCTTATCTTCAGCTGTCAGGAAATCTCTGGAGCAAGAAGTGAGAAATAAAATACTTTTTGTTTGTTGCATGGCACACAATAGTTTCTAGCTTTAAAAGATAAGAAAAGCAAAACATGATCTTTTGTGAAAGGAAATGGTTTAGGACAATTTTTCTAATACCATTTGTTCAACAAAAGGGTTAATTTTAGACCCTAATAATTATTTGCGACACACTTGCAATTACTTTTGTTAAGAAGGAAGGAAAAAGTACTAAAAAAATAGTGCCTCTAAGTACCACTAAAAACATTTGTACTGATGGATAGAAATAAAAATGCTTAGTCTAAAAGGACTTTTTCTGTCAGCACAATGTAAGAACAGTGAACTGTACAAAGTGGAAAAGGCACTGGAGATTTGGTAGTTTGTTGCCACTGGCATTCACTGTTAAGTAATGAAAAAAAGTAATTTAACATCCTGCTTTCCAAATAATATGTAGAGGGGTGGTAGTGGACAGTAATACTTTATTCTTCGGTAGTCTTGGAATGTTGACAGAGGAAGGTTCATGTCAATGAAAAGAGCTAGTATGGCCTCCATGCTATTGTTCTGGTTTGCTGTCTGACAGTAACAAATTGCAGTGTTATTCATCTCACCTGTGAGGCTACTCACGCTACAACAATATTTTGTGGTCAGATAAGCATCATGTAGTTTTATATTCAATAAACCTAGCTTATCATAAGCATCAAGTCAGATTTTCTTTTACATGCATAATGCAGATCGATTAGCCTGACAACATGAAGCTGCTGCCTGAAAAAGTCATTGTGGGACCTTCTGTTTTATAGCTCTCCATTTAAAGAAACCTGTATCTCCACCAGGTTACATCTTCTCCAAGCAAAATAGGAAACTCTTGAATGATGAGATCTCCTGATTACTCTTACTCAGGCCATTCTGACACTTGGCTTATGGGCTACAGGTGTAAAATAGCTCATTGTTCCAACTGTTTCAGCTGGAGAAAGAATTGACAGGATCCTATAAAATCTTTCCAACTTGTTCTATGTATTTCAGTATGCCAGCATAAAACTCTGGAAGAAACAGTAGAAATTATTCCTAAAAATAAACATTTATGTTTGTTTTGTTGTTTTCTTCTCATACAACTGCCAAGGACAGGCTTATTACTTACTGATTGGTAAGCTGTTCTGGACCCACAAATAGGTTGATACGAGATAGTCCAGTCCGTGTTCCAAGGAAAGCAACTTCCACTCCCTTGTCAGAGTTTCTGAAATAGAACAGAACACAAGCAAAGATAATGTTTCCAGAAAGAAAACAGATCAATCTGTATTACCGGTCACAAATGTACAAATGTACGCATTTTTGAGAAAAAAAATCCTAAATGTTTTGGTTTGCAGCAATATTGTAGAAAGTCAATTGAAAGTCCAGGGACCACAGTCTCAGCCATCTTCATTCTTCAGTAAATGGCCTCTCTCATTACTGTAGGTCAGAATATGAAAGGTGATTAAGTGTCCTACTGGCACATCTCAGCTGCCTTCCTTGTGTTTAGTGGATCTGTTATTCCATTTTGTAAGGAGATTCCAAGAAATCTTATGCCTCTATATAAATTCATCAGCACCTACAGTATATTATCATGCAACAAATTCTTATCTTTATCTTTAAAGAGAAGACTGGATAATCCTTAGTTTGATGAATCAGTTCTTACCACATTGATTTTATTCAGTCCGTATAAGTATGTACTTTACAGCAATACATTTTTTAATCTAACTTTTAAAAAAATGTTCAAGTTTAGCAAAATCTAATCAGAACAATCTCCAGAATTGCCCTTCAACCGTAGTATTTCACATAAATGGTTAATCTTAGAACCTGCTTTCTCTAATAAATAAATAAATATCAAAAACATCTTGTTACTTAACACCTTAGTACCTCATAACATAAATGAATTAAGTAAAATATATACACTCTAAGAAGAACCATCTAATCTCTTGATTATCTGTAACGGGAACCTAGATCCCACTTAGTTCTGGAAAGCAAAACAAAACTAACAACAACAAAAAAGATTAAAGAGTTCATTGATTTTAACAGTGCAAGTTTTTCTGTATATAACTTGTTCTGAGACAAATTACCAATTTCATCCACAGTTTATAAATTTTGCATTAAATTTCTCCATTTCTCTCAACATTTGTTATAAATACTCAGATCTGTAAGTTGTAGCTAGTATACGACTTCATTAGTTATATTATGAACACTGGGTATCTTTTTAATTAATCACCATGATGTACACTGCAACATAAATATAACAATGAAGTCAAAATTGGTGATATTTAGGATCAAATTATTAATATTTTCATTCATTTCAGCATGTGTTAAGTATTCCACCATTTCACCAACATAACTGTTAAAAAATCACCCATGACTGACACATCATGTCTGAAAGAAAATTTGCTTACTCTGATTTGTTCAACGCTAGACTGGTCCAATAAGCTTCAATAGGTGCACTCACAACTGCATCAAACAGAACTTCCTGGATCAATTCTTTATCACCTGTTACAATATATGAAAATCATACAGATTTATTTTTTTAAGATTACTATTTATTTTTTTTATACTGTACTATATTCTATCTGTGTATTCAAACTTCTTGCGCTATTAAGCATTTACTATGTAATATTACATGGTATTATACCACAATGTAGTCTTTCATATATAACTTCCTTACACTGACAAACCTTTTAGATTAAAAAACCAAGAAGTTACTCTCCATGTTGCACATCTATACACGTTATCTAATGCTCACATTTGTACATGATATAAGGTTAGAAAAATCAGTTCTGCTGACAATCACAAAGGCTCTGCAATTCTGCAAATGGACAAAATACACACTTATCCATCTGAATTTTTCTTAATTCTGCTTTGCAGTTGAGAAATGTTAATTCATACATGTTGTCCCTTAAAAACTCATTAAATACGTGGCATATTCTTTCAAGGTGTGATCCAAGCACTGATTCAGATCATTCCTGTTTACCTTACAAAGCCAGATGGAGTGGTAACATTGCATAGCACAGCTACCGCAACTGAACAGGAATTTTAATGTTTGGTTCAGGCATACTGTCTGCTATAAAAGTCAGGAATTGGTATCACCAATATCTATTAATACACCAGAAAAGGCTCAAGACCAAATGAAACTCCCAAGTGACACCAGCCAAGCAATCCAATCTCAATTTATCACTAGGTAAGCTAAGTATTTTTTCATTTCATAGTTTTTAGCTGGGGTAAAGCCTCCTACATGCATATTTAACAAAATACTTGCACTGAAGCAATGGCTCCTTTCCTGTGAGGTAGCGTTTAATTGCTTCTAACTGAGTCATTTGACGGTGTTCGGGATGCAAATCAGTGTTGCAATAGGACCTGCAAACACGTTGTCAAAACATTAAAATGTTAATATGTATAAGCATGATCCCTCTTTGTCTTTAAACAAAAAGTATTGGCTTTAGCAAGCACAAACACTATGAAACTAGGAAGGGTAACAGACACCAATTTCATGCTTTGTTTAAGGCTTACCATTCATCTGCTAAAGATACATCAGGGTGTTCTAAATCATGTAACCCTGTAACAGGAATAATAATGGGTTATTTAGGGAGCAGTCTGGGTAACAGATGGTTATTTACATACATCCCATAACATAAACCCTTCTTTCTTGGAAAGTGCATTATTACCACAGTGTAATAAATCACAGTAAACTATGTTCAAATACACTTTAGGGTTTAACTAACTGGCAAAAGAAAACTAAATCAGATCTAAAATTGAGAAGGTAGGAAAAACTTTTTTTTGTGCTGACATATTTAACTCATACAAATTACTCACATGATATATTTGAAGTTTAGAAGAAAACTTAAGCAAAGAGAAATACACAATGGTAAAAGACTCCTATTCGTACTCTCTTGGCTCTATTTGGCTAGCAAACTTTTTATGCTAAAATATATACTTCTCATTTCATGACAGTTGTTCCCTTTCTCAACTGGAAAAAGAAAAAAGTCTTTAAAAGAGAACAATTTCCTCAAAACCTAAGCACACAGCCCATGAACACAAGAAGCAATTTAGTGGATTGTTCAGAATAGGTTTATTGTACTAACAGGTCACGTAAATGCTTGTAAATAAGAACTATATAATTAGCTATATAGTGCAATAAAAATGTACTTTAGCAATTTTAAAAACTCTTAAAACACTTATCAATAAACAATAAGCAAACAAGGTTCAGAAGGCTGGGCCTGGGTTTAACCCCTAATATAATAAACTATGGCAGAGCTTCAGTGATGAAGGAAAGCAATGAAGTCAAAATTAGAACTATAATTCAGGAGGACAGTGAGGTGTCAGTGACACAAAACCAGTGAAGGTGCGGGTGGGAGAAAAGGAACAGTTAGTTATGGCTATGTTAACATTTCTGGGAGGAAATAACAGACTGGCTGAGATGTAGGGCTGGATTAAAGAAAATATGAAAAGGTATGTTTGGAACAGTTTGGAGAGTAAGCAGCTCCAAGTCTCCTGCTATGTTCTCTTTCTATCTAGACATGTATCTGCAAGTGCAAGTGACTCAAGCTTTAAGACATTTCTTTTTACATCTCTCCTGGGTACAGGAAGGTAGTCAGGTCACAAAATGTAGCTGAGTAACAAAGACCTGAAAAAATTAACTGTCTTGTTTAACATAACTGACAAAACAAGAAGCAGAATGGGAAATGGAGGCTTAAGCATCAAATCAGAAGGCATTTCTCTATAGAAACTAAAAAGCCATACCCACTACAGCACTCTCATTGCTTACTTCATTCAGAAAACACGAGAAAGAACTAAAATTGGACCCTGAGCAACCCTCTAGAACATTGAGAGAGGATGATTCCCACCTAAAGAAGACTCACAAATGGTCTGAATATGCTTAATATAAATGAGGGAAAAAGATCCCATTAAGTAAAAGATCATTTTGGGGGAGGATCCAATTCCCTTATGGAATCTGCAGACAAACATACAAGCTTTAGGTCTACCAAATCAACAATAAAACTACTCCGTAAGGAACATGAGAAGGTATGTATCTTACCTTCTTCCACAGTTACATTCCCTCTGAAGAAATATTTTCCATGTCCTCTAGAGAGAGCCACACCTAAACTGTGCAGAGAAATAAAGCAGACCTTGAAATCTGTGAGACAAACAATAACAGACATTCAGGGCTATTTTAATTTCTAACATTTCCAGCTAATGTATTACATTTAAAACTGTTTGTTTCCAAACACTAGCTGATCATATTTATTGTTCAACTCGCTGTTTCAGATGTGGTGTGTCTGCAACAATCGGCTGTATTTATGTGTGCTTAGAGGTGCAGTAAACCATTATTCTCTGGCAAACTAATAAAGGAACCCTACCAAGCTCACTGCTGTTCACTCAGCATGACACTTCTTCAGCTGAGCCTTGAACATGCCCATGGCCTTATAATGAAGGAGACATTTTTTTGTAAATCAGACTAAGCTGTTGAGAAACTACGTGAATATGGGAATTAATGGAGCTACTGAGAGGAAAAGAATTTCATATGTGACAACATCATGACTCTTCTTGAATGAATTTTTTATGTGATTCAGTAAACCATTATTCTCTGGCAAACTAATAAAGGAACCCTACCAAGCTCACTGCTGTTCACTCAGCATGACACTTCTTCAGCTGAGCCTTGAACATGCCCATGGCCTTATAATGAAGGAGACATTTTTTTGTAAATCAGACTAAGCTGTTGAGAAACTACGTGAATATGGGAATTAATGGAGCTACTGAGAGGAAAAGAATTTCATATGTGACAACATCATGACTCTTCTTGAATGAATTTTTTATGTGATTCATATTTGTAGATTGTTTGATTTTTTTTTTTTTTTTTTCATTTCTTCAGCTTCATAAACATTCAGCAGTTACGTATCCAGATTTCATTTGGCTTTTAGTCTAACATTTAAATTATTCAAGTTTATTGAACTGCTGGGGGATCCTATGCCTCTTCCTATTAAACATATACACAGAATACATTCCATCCATTCAAGGGGATTATATCAGGGTAGGAACCTGCCAGTAATCAGTAAGACTGAGAAACTGTGGGCTGATCCTTTAAGAACACATAGAGGTACCAATTCCAAGAACTCATATACTGCAATCAACAACTCAATCTGGAAATGAGCTGAACAGTAAACGTCTTTGACACTACAGTGTATATTTTAACTAACATTGCCCTGCTGTCTTCCTGAATCTGTACTCCTACCCATCAAAATGAGACACAGACCATGCTGAAAAGGGCAGGACAGTTTTCCTACTATTTGCCTGTCCTAAGAAACAGAACTTGCACTGCATGCATATAAATAGCCCCATAACTGTTTATGAAATAGGGTAAGGATGACAATGCCACAGGAAAACAAAACAAAACACAAAAAAATCCCAAAAGAGCAAAACCTACAAAACTGATAATAAAAAGCAAACAAAACCAAATCCCTTTATTTTTACTACTCATTTGTGAATTTTAACAAGAATAAACACACATGCATTAGAGATCAGACAAATGTGCCTGTATTTTCACTACATGGAAATGTAGCTCAAGTTCTGTGAAATGGTTCCATTGAAGAAAATTTCAGTTGAGTATTGTAACTGTCAGCCTGCTTTAAGCAGAAGGTACAGTTTGTATTATTTTATTAACAAATTGTTTTTAATTCAAATATGAACATTTTTTAAGTTACTTCATTCTTTTATTTTTATTTTTCCTCCTAAGATGCATGCCAAAATAACATGGCTGACTCACTCAGTTTTAGTGATACAAATACACTGAAGGTAATTTGGAGAAACAAAATATCCAAGCCTCAAATTGGAAGTGAAATACTATCTCATTTTACATTACATATTTGTTGTGGAAAAAAAAATCAAAATGGGGCTCAATATGTAGTTACTTAAATAGATTATAGTATTTATAGCTCTCCAAGTACTTGCGAAAGCCTTTTGTTCAATGTAAACCTCAACTGAATATTTTTTTAATGAAACGTAAGCCATGACAAACATTGAGTTTGCCTGTGTGTGAGCTTGCACAAACTTTCCATCCCTGGAAAAGCTGAAAGGAATGCTGGTAGGCTCCTTTTCCTTGTTATTTTCAGCATTGTCCAGGGATATTTCATTGTCAGCTTTCGCTGATGAGCTTTTAATGAGTTCACAAGCTCTGTACAAACGCAAATCCAACGAGTCTGATGAAAAGTCCATTTATTATGGTCGTCTCTACCTGAATGGAGTACCCTTGATGTCTGTATAATAGTAGTCATTTGTCATCACCAATACCCGCTTCTAGATTCAGAACAAGTCAGAAGAGGAGGGGGAAATAAGTTAGTTTAGTATAAGAAATGCATAAAAGATTAAGTGATTAGTCACCGATAAAGTTGAAAACAATATTATATTCAGTGAGTGAAAATATATACTGCAGTGAAAAATATTTATGGCAATCTTAAAAATTGTTTTTTTAAAAAAAAATGGATTTGCTTTCTACTCAGTTTAAATAATATTTTACACACTGTACCCCTTTGTCCACTGTCTTCTTCACTTCCATGGAGAATTTCCCTGTTTTCCGATTCACCATCGCATTTCGGAGCTGAAATTAAGGAAATGTGTGTTAATTCCTCTATTAGCATTTTCTGTAATTTTCACCTCTGATTGAGCTCTTCTGTTACATTCATTTGGCATAAGAAGTACTCAGTTTTCTTTATTTTAAGTAGTTCTACTATACACTGCACAACTCCCTTACAGATTTTATTACTGACTGTAGAGGCCAAGATACCTGCCACACAACTTAAAACGAGTTGCTGAGATACATAACATAGGAGCTCTCAGCATCCTTCACAGCACAACAGCTTTTTGAGTAGTAATATGGATCTTACATGGGTTAAACTGTAATTGACTACTATTCTGCAGTTACTGAATAGGAAGAGAAGGACTAGGATCCCAGCTGGATTTGGCCAAAGTCGGACCAGAGCTCGGTGTTTAAATACACCAACAATTGTACATATAATAACAAAACAAAAAAGAGAAAACCCCATTTAACCTACATTATTTATTCTGCTACGTCTTGATGCTCTACATTGGGCTGCATCCTAAAATAGCACCAGAAACTGCAGGCTAAATGATCCAGAAATTGGAACTAGCAAACCAATGACAGCCCATTTGAACAGTAACCTGTTTCAATGGGAACACACAGTTGCAGTGCTCTGTGACTCCCTCTGGTTCTCCAGGCACCTCTTGTAAGGTATTAAATTTTGTCTCTGCAATGGAAGCTCCAATTCAGTCACAGCTTTAAGAATCAGCCTGGACGTCTCCCTCTCAGTCTTCCAAAAGTCTTTTGACTTCAAAACCAGGTCTTGTTACTATATAAACCAAAAACTCAAAGCAGAGGGAAAACAGAAAATCAATGAAAAAGGGTTTATACACAATGATCTGCCTGCTGCTCTGCAAGTTAAATGTGTTACTTTTTAGATTACCACACAGTTTTTCAGCAAGTTTATTCTAGCCTCTCCATGAGCTGTGGGTTCCCAAATCTGTGCTGCAAAGTCCCTTACCCATCACCTCTAAAAAGTGCTTCCTAGGAAAGAAGAGCTTTCCTCAGAGGACATCAGCTGACTTAGCCTCTTCTATCATAGGAATATGCCATGATGACGAAGAGTAAAAGAAAGAAAGAAAGAAACGATACAACTGCTCCCCAGGCCTATAATCCAAAAATTACCTGCAGTGTGGCAAACAAAGCATACATGCTACCCTTGCACTGAGAGCAGGGTGTCTGGGCTGAAACTGAAAAATGACATCAGCCTCAGTGTTTTGAACTTGTCTATTTATCAGTTCAGGATTTTAGGGAAGAAATAAACGAGTTACTCTTAGCAGCTATTCCACTCACTTATGGAAGTAGCATATCTTAATGCTCCTAGATTTACGAATGGAAGAAGCAACTTCTTTTGCTTATATTTGTAAGTAATGGTAAAGATGCAGGAAGATTAAGGTGGTTGTATAAGGATCTCCTCAATTAAAAAGCAATATTGATATACTTGTGGGATTTTTTTTTTTTTTAAATGGGTTTTTTTTGGTAGTAAGAAGTACCTACAAATCTTTAGCAGATATAATTTTCATTACAATAGGAAAATTCCACTATCACTAATCAATTCACACTCCCTTCTTCAGGGATATTAAAAATGTAGAATAATACTGAAAAAATGAGCATTTTTATGTCTCTTCTATTGCTTATCTATCTGAATACAATTTTGGATATCGTGTTCTTGCTGAAGAAATGCCTCCTGTTGTCCAGTACCTCATGTCAGATTGGGCAATTCAGTCAGATTTTAATGAAAAATTGTGAAGATAGTCATATCAATGCACTCTGCTGGCTTTGTGAGTTAGTATGGAGTGAAAAGAGAGTGATCAAACTCACCAGAGAAATAACTGGTTTTATTCTCATGAACAAGTTGAGCATTGCCAATCTATCAAAAACTGCAAACTTTGCAGCTCTTTAAATTTAATTCTGGGGCATCTAGACTTGAATTAACAGTCTTACTCTTTTGTCAGTGAGTGTAAAAGAATAAGTTTTAGCTGGAGGCGTGTATAAAATAAAGCATATATTTTACTGTAGGGTTTTGGGTTTTTTTTAACAATGCATAATAGGCAATTCTGGAAATATTTTACCATTTAAGTTTTGTGGTTTTGGACTTGGAGAGCTGGTCTTAATTAACCATCTACTTTCTAACATTTACAGAACAGTTCCATTTATCTTTAACATGGTTTTCATTTTTTCTCCTATTTGTGCCTGCAGTTGTCTAATACCCATTCCTCCCACAAGCCTCAGGCAAGTCATAGATTTACTAAAAGGGCCTCCAAACTCTCAGTAGTGTTTAAGATCAAGTCTGCATGTGGGATTTAGAGTTTAACTTTTCTTCTTGTTTTTTTGCTTGCTGTGATTACATTTCTTGGCTTTGTAATCTGGTTTCTCAGCTCTTCTGCAGTTTCATCTCCCTCCTCAAATGCATAAAATAAGCACTGCCTCAGTTGGCTTCAAGCCCCAAAACATTCATTCATGCTCTTTTTTATTTGGAAAAAAATATTTCATTCAGCTAGATATTACAACAAAAGAATTTCAAGAAGTGAGTTAATGAGAAAAAGGTTTCCATCCAAGTTGAAAGTTCTTCTCTTTGGTACTGTGTATTCCCAAACTTTGCTCAAAGACACTTGGCTTAATAAGCTGATACTATGACTCCTATTTCTGATAAAATGCAGTAACAGCAAGATAGTGGGAACTGTTAACCTGGAAAATGAACTGATGAATATGCACACACCAGATCTATTTCTTGGTGAAAAAGATTATAACCTTAGTTCTGCCATGATTTTTCTTATTGGATGACTACAGAAAACCTAATTCATCACCTCTTCAGAGTCATACACATTATTACTCCTTCAACTAAATATCTTCCAATCAATTACTAACAGCACTTTCGCTGCTATAGTATGAGATCATTCTATATTCTTGGAAAACTATGTAACCATTCAATTAATGTGGTAAAAAGTAAGAAAATGTCTTAATCAGCTTCCACATAAGTGTTTCATGAGAAAAAAAAAAAATACAAGTAGTAGTCTGTGTTATTAAAAGCAGCTATATGAATACATTAATTCTTTCCTTCTACGGTTGAATAAACAATGCTTTACTATCAAAGCTTGGAAAAAATCAAGAACATCAAGGCCTTGGGTGAAGCAGAGCCACATGTAGCTCTCGAGTCAGTAAGTTACTTCGCATTTTTAAGTCTCCTACACAATATTTACCATTTTCACTCTAAATTAGCAATATTAAGGAATTGCTCATTACAAAACATCAACAAAAATAACACATACTTTTTGGACACCCTTTCAGATCCTTGCATGAGAAAAGCTGTATAAAGAGATAGATTTAATTAAAGTAATCTACAGAACTTCCTTCAAATTCAATCCTCTTTCTCAGTCTAATGTTAATAATGACTCTGTCTGTAGCTCCAATGTTATTTTATTTCATCACTTCTTCTCTTTTATTCTTCTATTGGTTGTTTTGAGCATAAGCCCCTCTGAAGATCTTAGTAATACAGTATAAATTACTTAAATATTATTTCACACAAACACAAAAAAAACTTTTAATGATACACCAAACTTATTTTTTAAAGTAGCTGTAAAAATGTTACTCATTTTACATTGTATTTTTTCCTATTTAGAAATTTGCATGAAGGTCTCCAGCTGAGTGTGGCACTGCTGAAGTGTTTGGACAACATTTGGAATATTAATCAATTTTTCTACAATATTTATCTGCTGGTTTTCAGATAACACTTGGACACCAATCTTTAAACATAAGATGTGCATGTTGTTTTACAAAACTTGTCTATCGGGGGATTATTTATCAAAGAATGCCTGCTTATTCAGATACGCACTAGTGAATTATTAGCATTGATAGACGGGAATCACACAAGGCAGTCATTAGAACACACGTATACTTTACATGATTAGTGAAAATCGTGTTCACTGCTGCTCCAAAGCCACAATAGATTATTGTGGGGTTTTCTATTATGTATTGAATATATAGAAAAAATAACTTTATGTATGATTTATCCAATTTTTATATATTGGCCAATGGACCTGGATCTTTTCTACAAATGTAATGTTCTGTTTAGTCTCTTAACAACGTAAATTAACTTCTTCTTCAAAAAGAAGAAAAAGGTTGGGAAAACATCAGAGAAAAATATATGTATGTATGCTTCATCAAAACAGGAATGAAAACTTTCTGCTACCTACAGATAGACAAAACACAATTTTTGCTACACATTTTCAGAAAAAGAGACAGAGCTCAGAGGTCTCAAACGAAGAAAATAATTAGAGCTGAACCTGGGCTTTTTGCTTTCATGTATATTCAGATGGAATCTCAATCATAAAACTTAATTTTCTACTCCATAGGTATAGATCACAGTTACATTAACTGAATGAATGACTACTAAGATTTGATTAAAAATGAGGAATTATTTTTGTACAAATTATACAAAGAAGAAATAATAAG